ACATAAGGACGGACTCTGGGCCAGGCGGGGTGGCTCATGCCTGTCATCCTAGCACTCTGGGTGGCCAAGGCGGACGGATTGCTCAAGGTCAGGAGTTGGAGACCAGCCTGAGCAAGAGTGAGACCCCGTCTCTACTAAAAATAGAAAGAAATTAATTGGACAACTAAAAATATATAGAAAAAATTAGCCGGGCATGGTGGTGCATGCCTGTAGTCCCAGCTACTCTGTCTAAAAAAAAAAAGGACGGACTCTAACAGCTATAACTATTTGCTCTGATCTGTCTTGAGGAAGGGTGGTTATCCTGGCACTGCAGGGCTGAAGGGGAGGCTGAGGGTGCAGGTGTGCTTCTTGGTGACTGGCTGGGAGTCTAGAGAGTCGGGGTGAGTCCCAGCACCAGGCCAGCAGCCCCCTGACCTCAGTCTGGCAGCTTCCCCGGCCTCCACTCCCTGCTTGTCAAGAGAGGGGTCAAACTAGCAACCTGCAGGAGCATCCAGCTCTGATGCTCTGCTCTGTGTGTCTGTTGTAGCTCAGAGGAGGGCAGACTGCCCAGCCCTGCCCCTTACAGGCTGTGTGACCTTGGGCAGGTTGCTTAGCCTCTCTGTGCCGTGGGTCCCTCTCCTATAAACCAGGGGTGGGCTGGGCACGGTGGCTCATGCCTGTAATTCTAGCACTCTGGGAGGCTGAGGCGGGTGGATTGCTGGAGGTCAGGAGTTCGAAACCAGCCTGAGCAAGAGCGAGACCCCTTCTCTACTATAAATAGAAAGAAATTCATCGGCCAACTAATATATATATAGAAAAAATTAGCCGGGCGTGGTGGCGCATGCCTGTAGTCCCAGCTACTCTGGAGGCTGAGGCAGGAGGATCGCTTGACCCCAGTAGTTTGAGGTTGCTGTGAGCTAGGCTGATGCCACGGCACTCTAGCCTGGGCAACAAAGCGAGACTCTGTCTCAAAAAAATAAACCAGGGTGGTCACAGTCTCTGCCCAGTGGGGCTGTTCCGAGGAGCGCGTGGCGTAATATATTACCCGCGAAGCACTTAGAATAGCGCCCTGCTGGCATTGGAAGGGCGGGCCAGTGGTAGCGGTTACTATGGCTACCATCGCTGTCACTCCTGACCGCCCTGCAGCCCGAATGAGTCCGGGAGTCGTCGTCGTGTGCCTCTCAAGAGGGAACAAAATTTTCTCTCGGCAGCATCCCTGCTGACCGCGCCCGGGCGGTGTCTGTGCTCTGATCGATGTCGTTCTGTTGCAGGCGGAGGCCCGGCTGGCGGCGAAGCGCGCAGCCCGCGCGGAGGCCCGCGAGATCCGCATGAAGGAGCTGGAGCGGCAGCAGAAGGAGGTAACGCCCGGGCTCCCCGCCGGGTCTTTTCGCGGTGGTTTTCACTTTAGGCCCAGCGCGCGAATGCGGACGCACCTGTCGCGGCCGATGCACCTGTCGAGGCTGATGCACCTGTGGCTGCCGACACACCTGGCCGTCTCACACTGCCCCAGTGCGGCCGTGTGCGCGTGTGACCGCTGCCTGCAGCCAGGCGGGAGTGTGCGGAGCTCGAGACCCAGGTGCCTGCCCGGGACCCTGAGCCAGGCGTGCGAGCCCCTCGCCTGGGGAGACCCCCTGGGCCGGCACCTGGCTGAGCGGAGCCCGGAGTGCCGGGCTGGACCTCAGGGTCTCACTGTCGCACTAGAATTTAGGTCCTTTGAATTTAAACGGGAAAGAACAGATTGATGATTTTTAAACTGACCGGACTGTTGCATTTGTAGACATTTCCCCCAGGGTTTCCGCGGTGTCGAGTGAATTTCAGGACACCTGAGGCCTGCGAGACCCCGAGAAGAGGAAGCGGCCTGGATAAAGCAGCCGGGAGCAGCACCCGGGAACCGGGCGCTGAGGCGTGGGCACCTGTGCGCCGCCTGCCGCCTGCTGGCGTCCTCTCGAGCTGACCCCAGGGTGGTCTCTGGGAGCACCAGGCTCTATGACGCAGGGTGCTTCCCGTGGCTGCCGAGGCGGAGAAACCTTCCCGCTCAGCTCGCCTTCGCCACCCACACCTGCCCCTCACCAGAGGGCCTTCCCTGTTAAAAAGATGTGAGTTTACTGTGCCGGACAGACGTCACCGGCTGCCTTCCCCAGGGCTGGTTTTCATACACAGGTTCCTGTTTGGCTCTCAGGGTGACATTTAAAAAGTCAAGCCAGTCTCTAAAATGTATGAGACTTCAGAGAAAAATCGGAACCTCCAGTTTCCCGTGAGACCATCGCCAGTCCTGCCATGTTCCCAACAAGGACCAAGCCGGTCGCATTCCCTGTGGGGACAAGGCCCCGGCCACCGGTGTGAGGTACCCGTTGCCCTTCCCGCCCCGGGAGTTTGCCGCTCCACGTGGAAATACGTGGGCAGGGGAGGGGGCAGCGTCACCCGCCTTGGGAGCCGTCCTGGCGCCCAGCGGCCCCCGCACCCTCAAACTCTGCTCTGTGCGGCGTTGCTGGAGCCCACCGCGTGGGAGACTTCTTGTGTTCAGAACTGGTTTCCTAAAACATGAGTTTTAAATGACAAGATCCCAGTTGCCTTTCAGACTACACTTTCTCTGTAGAGTATTTCTGTTCACGTTTCAGTACACACTTTGAGGCTCATTGTGTGCCGGCCGCTGCTAGCCCCTTCCATCTGTTCTAGAAGCCACGCCGCGGGAGGGCAGGACGGTAGTTAGTCCCAGAGGCAGGGGCCGCGGCTTCTCGGGCTGCATGGCTGCCTCGTTCCGCAGAACCGGAGCTCGTGGACAGTGCTGGAGCTCCGAGGAGCATCCGGTTTTAATCTGCTTCCCCAGCAGGCCCACAGTCTTGATGATGATGATGATGATGATGATGATGATGATGATGATGAAGGTCATAAAAGAGTTGTAGGAAGAATTTCCCCAGATATTTTGTTGTTCTGCCGGGTTCTGCCACACTTGATTGGATTTAAGTCCCCTGCCCTGCTGGTGGTTTCTGTGTGGCCGTGTCCTGGGCCCCGTGGGGGTGGCCAGGCCGAGGAAATGGGGGCAGAGAGGCTGTGAGTGGGGCCTCCTTGGGTGCTCATGTGATATTAGCCATCACTCTGTCACTCATCCCATGTGCAGCATGAGGGAAAGTTGCTTTCTCCAAGAATACAAATGCAAAATTTCTACAAAATCAAGGCGAAAATGTATGCTATAGTATACCTACCTTCTGAATTATACATTTAGATAAAATATGTTTTATCGTTCATTAAGGGGCAGAACTGATTTAAATAAACACATGATGATATTAGCAGCTTTTTACAGAATTCTTTGGAAAAAGTTCTTGGTTTAGAAAATAAACACTGGGATTGATTAAGCCACAAAATCATCCATTCGAACAGCCTCCTTTGAGAGCAAAGCGTCCCTTTCCTCCTTCGAGCCCAAGGTCCCGGGGTGTGCCTGCGGGACTCGGGCGGGTCCCGGGGTGTGCTGCCAGCACCCCCCTCGGGCGCGTCTCCGGGGCTGGCTGTTGGGAGAACTCGCTGACGCAGTCTGCGGTCCTACAACCCGATACCTGGGGCGCTGGCATTTCAAGTTGTTGATGAGGGCGAAATGAATACGCTGTGGAAGACCAGTGTTTAAGTGGCAGGGTTGATATTTTGGTGTAAAATTGGGAGGTGCAATCCCTGTTTTCATCTGGGTGGCGAGCCTTCCCACCGCACACGGGCGTTTCTGAGTGGCCGAGGGTTTTTTTTTTTTTTTTTTTGAGCTGGAGGATGCTGTGAGAATGCAGGGGAGGGCAGAAGCTGGTGGCTGGGGCCGGGTCCCCCCGGGAGGGCGTGGAGAGCGTGCAGGGAGGAGAGGTAGCAGAGACTGCAGTGCCGGGCCCCGATCTGTCACCACGCCTTGGGGGCAGCGAGCTGCCTGCCAGTGTGACAGATACAGGCCAGCTCCAGCCCAGCCTGAGCCCTCTTGTTGATGGCTGTTTTCAGCAGTTGCACGTGGTGAGAACCGACTGGACTCCCGCTTACGTTAGCCGTGCTCTGGGGCTGTTTAAAAGGACATGTATGAGCTCTTTTCCTATTAAGGGAAAATTATATGTAGATTGTTTTGGGGGAATCCAAGTGACCCTAAAACCTCATTAGAGGAACCTACAGCACCAGAAAAGAATTCGGATCAGGGTGTTGTCTGATGAACATTTTAATTGGAGGTGCTGTGTCTGTTATCGTCACAGCATCGCTATATGTTCACCTGAGCTTCCCCGTATATGACTAGAAACACTAAGTCTAGTCTTAACGGTTTGGGCAGAGCCTTGAACAGTGCCTGACACAAATGTTTTGTTGAATGAATGAATGAAAGTGGTTGAATGAATGAAGGAAAGTGGTTGAATGAATGAAGGAAAGTGGTTGAATGAATGAATGGAAGTGAGTAGATATCTCAGTCTTGCCTAGTGATTACTACAAAATTAGGAACCTCTGAAGCAAACTCATGTGTCAGTGTGTGATAATAACTGCTTTTCCCCCCACTATTTCAGTGATACTCTAATGCTCGCTCTGTTGAGCTGCGATCTTCCTGGTGGTCTGTATGTGTCGGCATAAATCAGCGCCTCACAGCCTCTTTCTACACTGTTTGTGAATTCGACCGGTTGACTTTCCAATTAAGTTTCTGCACTTTCTGGTTAAACTTTTACTATAATAGTACGGGAAGAAATTTCGAATTAAAGATGAAGAAGTGTTTTTTTCCCTTTCGTGGTAATAGGTTATATAAACTCTGCATTAGAACAATAGCAGGATTGTGGTAGAGATTGATGTGGGTATGCCCGTATTTCTCCCAATATATCTAAAGTGGAACATGAAGTAAGTAATGAAATTGCTGATTCTTTCAGTGGGACCACAGACACTATTTTATAGCACATTTTACCAGTATTCACTGTTTCTTTCCCAGTGTGGCTTTTATTCATATTTCTATTTACAGAACCTTCCTTTCTGATGTTTCTGCTTCTTTAATTGGATTTTATATTTCTTCCCCTTTTTCTTTTCTATAGATCTATCAGGTCCAAAAGGTAGGCTTTTTTCCTTCTTTATTTTCTAATTTGCATGAACTAATTTCTCCCTGCCAAGGGCCTGGTCACCTTTCAGAAATAACGCCTTGCATTGGAGATACACAGAAACTCTTGCTCTCTGTTTCACTGCCTTGTGTGTGAATTTGTTTGAACAAAAATACTAGGACCCTGCTCCAGGCCCAGGAAAAGCCACAGCCAGACACATTCCTGTGTACCGAATGCCTTTCCCGTCTCCATTTTCCTCAAGATGTTAGAAAATTGTTTCCCTCAGAGAAAAACTAAGAAAAAAGTAAAATCATATTTCAGAACGTAAGGAGCCTTTTGAAATCATATATTGAAAGAAAAAGATAATTTTCTTACAAAACGTTTAAAATATCGATGCAAATTACCACCTATTGAGAGGTTATTAGATTTATGATAAAAACTGAGTAAGAGGCCGGGCGCGGTGGCTCACGCCTGTAATCCTAGCTCTCTGGGAGGCCGAGGCGGGTGGATTGCTCGAGGTCAGGAGTTCAAAACCAGCCTGAGCAAGAGCGAGACCCCGTCTCTACTATAAATAGAAAGAAACTAATTGGCCAACTAATATATATAGAAAAAATTAGCCGGGCATGGTGGCTCATGCCTGTAGTCCCAGCTACTTGGGAGGCTGAGACAGAAGGATCCCTTGAGCCCAGGAGATTGAGGTTGCTTTGAGCTAGGCTGACGCCATGGCACTCACTCTAGCCTAGGCAACAAAGCGAAACTCTGTCTCAAAAAAAAAAAAAAAAAAAAAAAAAACTGAGTAAGAAAGACAATGCTATAGCAATGAAATAAACCTGCTCTCCGTCCCTAACATTCAGAGTTTCGTGAGCTAACGTGCCTCCCCGTTTCCTAGTATTTTGTAGGGTCGGCTGGGGTTTAGCAGTGAATGCGCCAAGCAGGCCAGGCTCAGAGGATAGAGAGAAAGAGCAAGTCGGTGACTCAGGGCTCAGCAGTAATAAGGTCAGGAGAGAGCAGTTCCCTGAGAATTTGCAGGATTTGCATGCAAGTGAGTCTTGCCCACAAATGCTTTCAGTTTGTTACCGATGACGTCTGTAACAGTTTCTTCTTATGAATTTTAGTTTCTAGATAAAGTACAACTAACTGTGTTATTCTCATAGAGCAGCTAAGGAGGTGAGAATAAGGCCACTCGCTTTCCGAGGGTAGAGTGCACACACCCTCTCAGCACGGCGTCCGTACGTTTGGGAGCCTGGTGTGCCAGATTCCTGTGCTGGCCACCGTGCCAAACGGCCGTCCCTCCTGTCCCTTCGCTCTGCCTACTGCCCCGCTGACGAGGGCGAAGAGATCAGTGACGCCGACCGATGAGTCAGTTCTTTCTAGGGTCCGAGTATCCAAATGGATCCTGAAGCCCGAGTGCCCATCTTCCCCAGTCTGGACAAGCCCCGGCAGGTCAGGGGCCAGGCTGGGGTGGCCGCGTCCGGTCCTTTCCACTTGCGGTCACCCCTTCCCTGAGCTAGGTCACTGCCGTTTTCCTCTCACACACGCGCCAGGGATGCAGTTGTGAGAACCCCGTCGGGAGGGAGTTTGTGCACGGTGCACGTCCACATGGCAGGGCGGTGCACAGCTCCGTCACGCAGGTGTGTCCCGCGGCAGGGAAGGCTTTCTTCAGCATGGAGATAGAGGAAGAGGAAGAGGAGGCAGCCAGCCTTCTCCCCGCCCGGTTGGCTGTTTTGTGTAATGGTTTCTCTTGAGTCAAAGCTGTTTCTGAAAGTCAAGCTCCTTTTTTTTTTTTTTTTGCATTGGCCTGGCTCGCGCTTCCCTCTGCATGACTCACCGGCTGATCGCGGTGGTTTACCTTTGGAATATTTTGCCCTTTCTGGACTTTGCCGTGCGGGTGCCGGTAGCTAATGTGGGAACTACCAGGGAATGGCGCTGGCTGTCTCTAGGGGTGTTCTCACCCCACGGAGTGACATGGAAATGCAGCTAGGGCCACAGGAGCTATCGACAAGGCTGCCCATGAACTAGGTGGAAGATTCTGAATACTGGTTCTTACTTTTATCATCAAAAGAGCAATATATAATGTGCAGCATTTTATATAGGTATATAACGGGGCAAAAAGAAGAATATGAAAATAGAAAAACCGATAATACTGATTTCTTTTGGAATTTAAGTTTATTGTGAATTTATATAGCCCCTCCTCCCTCCTTTTAAAAAACATATTTGTCATCTATGTTGGAAGTTGAGCCATGAGATAAAGGAGGGGCGATGGCGTCACATGTTACAGGGGAAAAACCCGGAACTTACAGGGGCTGACGGTACCTGAGTGCACAATAGCTTTAGGCTGATGCATTTCACTGAAATTGAGGTTAAAACAAGACTTTGGGAAGTGTTTACTTTTATTTCTTTTTTGAATTTATATTTAAGGAAATAACTTACAGAAAAAGTTGTGGCTCATCTACTTCTTTTTATTAGAGTCCAATGTTGTTGAATTGTTTAAAGCGTTGGTAAATTCTCCCTCCTAATTTTTCATTTTCCAATTTTCTACTTACTGCTATCGCCAAGACTAGGAGGAGACCATCGGAGAGCTGTAGACTTTAAATCTGGCTGCCTTTCAAAACGAAACTAAACCAAACAGAGCAGCAGCACGTTTTGGTTATTGCAAAACAGTGTCAAAAACTGTCTTGTACTTCTAGCATCCACTTTTTCTTCTGATGATGATATTTTAACGTATAAAGAGAAAACTCACATCTGTGTTATACGATGTGAAGGTTTGGTGGGTTGTTTCTTAATTTTCTTATTGGAAATTGAAGAAAAAGTAAGGAGAGAAGCAAAACCCCATGATTTGGGACTGTAACCTGGGTCCCCACCTAACTTTGGGGTTACTGTAATTATCAGTGGCAATAGGCTTTCTGAGTCTGTTTTCCTGATTCTAACTGGGCCCATTATAGTTTAGACTAACAACATAAACACCTGGAGGTATTGTAACTACAGTAAGCTCCAAACATAACTTGCAGGTCTGCATATCTTTCTAACTGTACAAAGACCTCTTCTGTAGGCTACGGTCATCTTTCTGCCCGTGGCAATGCTATAAAAACACCGAAAGGGTGTGAACCCCCATGGGCCTAGGTTCAGCGTAGACACCAGGCAGCTGGGACAGGTGTACGAGACACCAGGGGGCCAGCGCACAGTCCCCCATCCTCTGGGTGTCCTTGTTCCCGATTAATAGCAACGCAGGGATGGCTCTGAGCTCTTGCTGCTCCCAAACAGTGTGTTATTCCTTCCGCCTTTTTGCTTTGAAGGCATGAACAGCTTGACAGAGGGGCTTGAAATTCTGCCGGGCTCAGGTTACCTGCTGGGGCGGCGGGGGCCGGGGTGGGGGGTCTCTCTTCACAGCTCACAACCTGCACGGCTGCGCGGGCGCCGGCTTTCTCTGCGGAGTTCTCTGCCTTGGCATGTCACCCTCCCTGCGTGGCTTGGGGGGGGGGGCGGCGACTTAGAAATGCATGTCGGAACTGTTTCTTAGACAATTACTGTTTCTCTTCTTGCCTAATCGTCTTTCCTTTCTGTCTGTAGAAATATTATGGGCTGGATTCAAAATGGGGTGACATCGAGCAGTGGATGGTAGGCCTCAAATACAATTTTAAGACGTAAATGGTTTATAATTTAATTCTTATGCGGTTTAATTATGTAGATAGATTCCTATTGCACCATAATTTAATACTGGGAGATTTTCTTCCGAGGACTTCTGCATCTGGTCTCTGGTTGTTTACGTCCCCAAACGAGCCTGCTTAGACACACCCCGGCCAGGCGTTTTGTCCCGTCTGTTCAGGAGCCACCGACTGCTGAAGTCTCCAGGCCAGCAGTCTGTGGGGTCCCCACTGCCACGGCCGCCCCACACTCCGTGGGCAGGGGGCTGTCCACGGGGGACTCCGGCTGGGCACGTCCCCGGGTTTGAGAACTTCCCGGCAAACTTGCCCATTACCACCCCGGCTCACCAAGTCCGGCTGGAGCCCGAGAGCCCCACTATGCTCCGTTTCCTTCCCTCGTGATGCCACCAGCTGGCCTCACCCTCATCCGACGTCACCTGCCCTTGCTGCCGAGCCCCTCCTCACCCTGTCCGCTGCGCCCGCTGAAGCCGCTGCTTTTTGGTGAGAAAATTCCTTTACCTTCTCAGCCTGTTTCCTAGAACCACCTTCCCAAGTCAGGTGAGAGCCAGCTTGCCCCTAGTGACACAGGAGTCCCGCTGGCCCTCCCAGGAGGCTGCGGCGCCCACAGAGGGGGCTCTGGCAAGGGCATGCCGTGTGCCTCCCACCACCCTCGTCAGTTAATCGGCCTGAGTCATTCCACCTCCTGGCCGTGTTGCTTTGTTGACTGCCCTCGTGGATGGCATCCCACACTTTTAGCATTTGAGACCTGGCCAGGGTGGAAATGCCCAATGTTAAATGTTCCTTAGATGTAAAATAAGCAAAGGAAAATGCAAAATTATCTCCTAGCATCTTAGATACTGCATGTAATGTAAAAGAGACTCGTTCTTCAAATATAAAGAATATACACTTCCTCTATTGAAAAAACGATTAAATCTAACCTGTGTTGTAAACCATCATTTTAGGCTTACATGGCACAGGCAGATGTATTTTTATCAACTCTTAAGACACAGTTAAAGGATGCATCATTGTTTTATATACCACGGAGAAAGAAAAGAAAATGCTGTTAATTATAATTGTGAGCAACTTTGATTATAGGATATACCTAACTTCAGAGATGTCCAAGCATGAGAAACTGTGTGTGCCTTAGAATCCACAAAATATAGTAGATAGGGTGATCTTTAGTCAGTCTTTTGTGGAAATGATTTATCTTCTGATTCCCAAAGAGAGAGAGAGTAAGGTTGTGAACATAAAGGAAAAAGTAGGTTGATTTAAATGGACCAGATTATAGAGGTTAAGAAAAAAATTAAGACCCAGACCAGGCACAGTGACTCACACCTGTAATCCTAGCACTTTGGGAGGCCAAGGTGGGAGGCTTCCTTGAGGCCAGGAGTTCAAGACCAACCTGGGCAACATAGCAAGACCTCGTCTCTACAAAAAACAAAAAACTATCTGGGCGTGGTGGTGTGAACCTCTAGTCCCAGCTGCTTGCTAAGGCATGAGGCTCGCTTGAGCCCAGGAGTTTGAGGTTGCAGTGAGCTATGATTGTGCCACTACACTGTAGCCCGGGCAACAGAGTGAGAGACCTTGTCTCAAAAAGAAAAAAAATTAAGACCCAGGTTCTGCCCCAGCACACACTGTTTTCAAAGCAAAATGAAATATGCCAATTATTTGTGTGTTTAAGAACCTCGCCCTTTCATTATTTTCCAGTGGCTTAATAAAAGCCTGTAAACAAAAACAAGGCGTATGTTTATTTGACATTTAGGTCAGAAATGCTGTATTATGTTGCAATGGGACTATCTAGGCGTTTGTAAAGTACCTCTGCTGTGTCTGCCTGTCTCTAACCTTTTCCAACTCTTTCCTCCATTGTTTCGGTAGGAAGACAGTGAGCGCTACTCTCGTAGATCCCGAAGAAACACATCGGTTAGTACTGTGCTCGTTGCTCCCCTGGGCAATCTGATCAACGTGGAATTTGTACTTTTAGTGACTGAAATAGATGCAGCATCTCTCAATAATGCTATCATCATCTCTTAATGTGTATGAAAGAAATTAGGCCGGGCGGTGGCTCACGCCTGTAATCAATCCTAGCACTCTGGGAGGCCGAGGCGGGCGGATTGCTCGAGGTCGGGAGTTCAGAACCAGCCTGAGCAAAAGCGAGACCCCCGTCTCTACTATAAATAGAAAGAAATTCATTGGCCAACTGATATATATATATATATATAGAAAAAATTAGCCGGGCATGGTGGCGCATGCCTGTAGTCCCAGCTGCTCGGGAGGCTGAGGCAGGAGGATCGCTTGAGCCCAGGAGTTTGAGGTTGCTGTGAGCTAGGCTGACACCACGGCACTCACTCTAGCCCGAGCAACAAAGTGAGACTCTGTCTCAAAAAAAAAGAAAGAAATTAATATTGATATTACCTAAACAAAGACTATGAACTCGGCTATTGGCATGTTGACCTCAATTTGGTAAGGAGAGTATATTTGAGAAATTTGTGTTAATATATTTATGACAGTTTTAGTGCTTTTTTTTTTTTGCTATTGGTTATGTATACATAATTTGCATAGTAATACACACTGAGGCTGTGTATTTTTACCTGGGAGTAAATAATGCCAGTTTAATGAAATTAGTTTAAATCCATATTATCCATAAACAGTCCTACGAAAACAGAGGCACACGTAGCCCGTGTTGTCCGGGACCTCGGCTCATGACCTCCGAGATTTTCGGAGGCAGCCGGCCCACCCACTGCCGTGGTGTTGGACCAGCCACATCCCTCTGTGACTTGGACGTTGGTTTCTTTGTGTACGTTCTGTTGTCACTTCACGGTTGTTTTCATCCTTTCTTTTAATAGGCTTCTGACGAAGATGAGCGCATGTCAGTGGGTAGTCGCGGAAGCCTGAGGGTCAGTACCCGTGACTGAGTTTGCATGGCACAGTGTGTGGTCCGAGTGCTTTGCTTTTCCATCCTGCATTCAAATTTCCCATCCATTATTCCTGTAGTCCGATCGTCAGTATCTAACCGACAGGATGCTTGTTTAAAATCTAATCAATGGGGCCGGGCGCGGTGGCTCACACCTATAATCCTAGTACTCTGGGAGGCCAAGGCGGGAGGATCGCTCAAGGTCAGGAGTTCAAGACCGGCCTGAGCAACAGCAAAACCCTGTCTCTACTAAAAATAGAAAGAAATTAGCTGGACAACTAAAAATACATATAGTAAAAATTAGCCGGGCATGGTGGCGCATGCCTATAGTCCCAGCTACTCGGGAGGCTGAGGCAGAAGGATGGCTTGAGCCCAGGAGTTGGAGGTTGCTGTGAGCTAGGCTGACGCCATGGCACTCTAGCCCGGGCAACAGAGTAAAACACTGTCTCAAAAAAAACAATCTAATCAATGGGCAAGGTTTCTTTGCTGTTGCGGATATATTATTAATACACGTAGGCATTTTTATTGTTTCTTTCTCCTGAGAGTGGAAGTCATCATTTTTCTATATTGGTCTGAATCAAAATTACCAGGACAGGAAGAGAGAGATTGAGACAGAATCCAAAACTCCCTATCAAAAAGTAGCATCTTCAGAGCTGGGATCCTCCTGAAACTGTGTGCACTTAGGGTTTTCTGGGAAAAGAATCTTCACTTTCTTAAGATTCTTCGGGGCTTCCTGGACCCAAAGAGTTTATTGCAATATTAACGAGTATGTTGGGGTTATGCCAGCATTCATCTCACTTTCAATGATTTTAACCAGAAATGAGTTTAATTGCTTTGTTGGACACCATTCTTTACCAGGACATCAAGTATGTTTGGTTTGAGGCATGGAATTCCATGCGGGCGGTCCACAGGATGCTAAATAAGAGGAGGAGAAAGCAGGTGGCATTTTCGCTTTCAGCTACGTAGTTTGCTACACGAGTCTTTCTCCCGATGTACTTGATCCAAAGAAATAGACCCTCTCTAACCACTTCGGTACGAGCGCCGACTACAGCCGACGGCCACAGATGAACGCGCACAGCCCAGCGTCGACTGCAGCGTTAATAACAAAACTTGAGCTTTCTAATTTTTCATGTATCAAAATAAAATTGCGAACATTTAAAAATAGCGTAATGAAAGCATGTATGTATATGTTACCTATTCTGGTATTTACGTGACAAGGAAAGCTGCCTGTAAAGCAAAACAAGCTGTCAGTGCTCTCAAGCTTCCCTCCTCACACGAGAGCAACACGGCCGCGTCGTCAGTGCACAGCACAGACTACCGTGCGGACTGTGAGCCGGCTGTGGGCGAGGGCTCGTGGCCGGGGAGCGCCGTGCCGAAGTGGTTAACAGTCACCAAACTTGAGAACTTGGACTCTGGAGGTGAGAGTCAAACCTCCTAATTTTTATTGGCCCGGAGCAGCTAAGAGGCCTGCTCGGGGTCATGGTTCTCAGTGACAAGGCCAGTGCCACTGCTCGGGGGCCTGCGGGCTGCGTGTCCTGCCTGTGCTGGTTGCCCCATCCCTGTCCTGTGCCCCTCGCTGCAGCCGAGCAGAGCACCCGACTGCCCTGCGGAACGGACTTGCGTCTCGCTCCACCTCTGTGCATGGCCAGCTCGGTCTGCTCCCGTGTATTTAAATGTTCTGAAATCTGCACTTTGTAAAGTCCCGATACAAGATCATACTTTTTATTTCTTCACTCTCAAAACACAGGCCTTCTGCATTCAATGATGATAAACGCTAAAAAGGGTGGTGGGTGGGATTTTACTATCCTAGTGTTTGTATGGAAAATCTAGATTTTGGATATCATAAGCTTTTAATTATCCTTATTTAAAAATTGACAGTGATGCCTCTGTTACCCTTTTCCTTACTATCATTAGCATGTAAGATGCAGAGGAGTAAGTAAGCTTTCTCATACTGTTTCAGATTTCACGAATTACAGCAATCTTTGCCATGGAAGCTTTGGTTAATATTATTGGATTTTATGGTAGCTATCATTGGAATGTAACTCTTTTTGCAAGTAGACATGAGATCCTAAAAGTTACGGGAAAGTGCCTTTTGTTAACATTTTGAAGATTGCTTGTTTTTCTGTTTTACTTAGCTTTTTAATTTATTTTTTGGCAACTCTCTTTTCTGTCGTTCGCCTCTTCCCTCCTTCTTCTGACAGTCGCAGCCGGACTTGGAGTACGGGGGTCCCTACGCCTGGGTGAGATGGTCGGATAAACTTTGCCGTGTGACCTTAACCGTGTGGCGTGACTGAGACTGACCTGTGGCGTTTCCACTGATTTCATGAGTGCTTTTCTAAAAACCCAAGTGCATCCTTGTCCGTCTGCCAGGCTCTGCCTGGGGGCCGTGATGGCACTGATTTTCATGAGTGGCTTTTCTAAAAACCCAAGTGGCATATCCTTGTCCCGTCTGCGCCAGGCTCTGCTGGGGCCATGATGGGGAGGGCAGGGGCACCCTTGGAGTGGCGGGTCCCCGTGCCAGGCTCCTGTGCAGCCCTGTTCCACCGAGGGCGTCTGAGCACGCCAGCGCACCGGCTGCACAAATAGCTCCCTAGCCAGATGGCTGCGTGAGCACCGGCTGGTTGCCGCAGCCTCATATAGCAGCTGTGCATGCCGCTGTGAAAGACAGTGATCTGCTTTCAAAGGAACTCAGATCAAAGTGTCCTGATGCCCTTAAAGGTGTGTCTTGTGAACAGATTAAACTGTTAAAGTAATTCGTACCCAACCGGAAAGCCCACTTATTTCTCTAATCTGTGGTCCATGTAAATGAAATGCATGATCCTGCTGTCTTTGCCAGAAAGGTCCTTTCTGAGGAGTAGACCCAGTGCCGAACCGAAACAAAGGGTTTACGATTTAAATTGCAGACATTATTTATTCGTAAGGCCTGTCTGTGAGAGTCTCCGCGCCATCGACGCTTCCCGGAAAACTGTAAACTTACACCCGAAAGTAGAAAATTTCTCCCAAGAAGCCAGCAGCTCGCGTTAAACGTGATCTTGAAAACTGAAGTGTTGAGAGCAGATCATGCCAACGCTGTCACATTAAGGAATCTTTCACGTAAAGCATTTTGTGTTTCTTTGTCCGTTTGCATTTCAGAATTATTTAGCAAGTTCTTTTTAGTGGTAGCGCGACGTGTGCACGCGTAACCTGGTTCTCTGAGCCCGCTGCGGGCTGCGGCTCTGCGCCGCAGAGACAGCCGGGGCGTGAGCGAACCCCGGAACCTGCCTGAGCCCCCGCAGACCCGCCCGACGCGGGCTTAGATTTGCCCG